AGCTTTAGTCTTTTGCCGGGTTGCTCTTTCCGGTTTGTCTGGTTTTTCTGGTTTCTCCTGCGGCAATTTCTTGCTCCAAAACGGGTCATTGCCCTGATTACACAGACACTGATATTAAACAATGACCAGATATATCAATAACAGATTCAGCAAAAGGAAAAATCAAGGTCTTACAGCTGGCGGGTTGTTGGTGGAACAGAAGGGAAGCAGGCCGTTTTTAGCACAGATATGTTCCGGTTCATTCAGCATCTTATTCACAGCCTCTGTGATTTCTTCATCGGTGAGCTGGATTTTGGAATGTCGCAGTGGGTCATCAACACTGCCGGTATACTCGCACATCAAACCGGAGCGCTGACTAAGGGGCAGTATGCTCCATGATATCCAACAGCGAGCGAGATCAACCCCTGTTAAACCGTTGGCCATAAAGGCTCTGAGCTTCGACAGTTGAGGAGCATATTTGCTTCTCTCCTGGGCAGTCAATCTTTGCGGAAAAGGGTGTGTATTGCTGAGCCGCTCCGAACGAAAGCTAGGCAAGGGATTCTCACCAGCAGGGGAGGTGTCTTTGCAATAGAACCATGTCTGATTCCACTCTTTAGGGTGGCTGTGCAGTTTGGCGTGAGGGTATGTGACCTCTTTCCTTTTCTGGATCGCCACGCCACCCAACTCCGTATTGGAGCCGTCAGTAAACTCAGTACGACGGTTTAGATGGAAAAGGTCCCTGAACAATTCCACTATGGGCTCCTCTTGAAAGAACGCCTCATAGAGCACTTGGAAGTGACACATATTTGTAACAGAATTGGGGCCAGTGTCTTGTGGATGGAGTTGGAAATCGGCCAAAACATCCCGGTAAAATTTAGAACCGGACGGCTTAAAGCCCCGAGCTAAGTGATCTACGAAAACAACAACCTCTCCTTCTTGAGGAGTGGGAGGGCATTCTTTGCCAAGAGCCCTCCAATGGATGGTATCTTTGCTGCCTAAAGTGCCGATCAGGACTAGATCGTCCAGCTGAGCCTCTGTGACGCGAGAAGGAACCCAATTGCATTCATATACTTGCTTGGCCATGATGGAATCTACAAGGTAGAAGATCCCGGTTCAAAAATGCATTTGATCAAGGTACATTGGTATGTGCAATGTTAAACCGGAGACAGAACTATCTGAACCGGAGTTTTATGAAGCAACAACATCTGGCGGTTCAACAAGGGGACTAATGGTATATACCGGTTTGGCAATTTTTTTCTACAAGGTTAAACCGCCTGGTTTAAACATTGAAGCAGATGAGTAAGTTTATAGAAACAGATTTCGTAAGATTTCTCTACAGCGATGGATCTGAAGCAAGTTCAGAAAAAAGATAAATATTCAGAGGTCCAAAAGGAGCAGTACCGAATCAATGAGCAAGACGTACATACAGATCTATGGTTTTGAGATGTGTAAGTGAAGGCGAAGGGTAAAACAACTACCATTGCACAGAATAAAGATTTGCGGAGTCATCTAAAGATCTATCGTATAAGCAAGAGGCAGACGATGAACACTGAAGAACTGTGAAACCCTAGGTCAGATCTGTGGGGGAAAGGATAGAAGATTTACCGGAGCTGAGGAAGACGCGGAAGGTTGCCGCGATGCTCTGGTGCGCCCAGGTTGATGCAGCGGCCAAGGTTGAGGCAGAGGTCGACGGTGGCGGCGGAGCTCTGAGGCTGGCGACGCGAGGAAGACGAAGAAGAAAGGCACGAAGGGGAGAAAAGAAATGACCCTTCGGTCCTATTTATAAGGCGAAAGAATAGGTGTCAGGCGCGACAATCAAGGGGCCACAAAACGGAGCTGTCGCCTCGATTTCCGCAAATCTACTAAACAAAGAAGCATAATGGATAGCTTCGTTATGACAGGTAACGTCACTCCGGTTTACAGCGATCAGAGAAGATGACATCATGGCGGTTTACCAATTTATGAGAAGATGTTGAAGATGAAGCTTTTGTTAAAGGATTGACATGAACCCGTTCAAATCAATCTGGGGCCTAATGTTGGGGATATTACTGCTGGGCGTAAACCGGCCTATCTGGGCCTGGTCAACTTCATCAGTAGTTCCAGAGTGATAAAGCCCAAGAAGGCAGATGAGGGCCTAAGGCCCGTAGCCGGTTCAAGACTTGTAGCTATAAACCGGGATTTGTATATAAACTTGTACTGTAAGTTAGGAATAAGGAGAGACCAACCCAGAATACGAATATCGACCGGTGTTAGGACTCTGTGAGCCGACGGGTGTCACCCGTGTATATAAGGGGACGACCCGGCGGCGGTCCAGAGATAGACAACAACTCGAGACATAGGCGAAGCTTGTTTGCTCCCTAGTCATCGAAACCCCATCAATTCCATCACAACTAGACGTAGGCTTTTACCTTCATCGAAGGGGCCGAACTAGTATAAACTCTCTTGCGTCCCTGTGTCCGCTTTAACCCCTTCAAGCTAACCCGTCGCGATGGCTCCACGACTAAGTCCCTTCTCCAGGACATCTGCCGTGACAAAGCCACGACACGTAGGGTCCGCACGCTTAACGTTCAATGACGATATGTACTGTGAGTTATGTGATTTGATGTACCGAAGGTTGTTCGGAGTCCCGGATGTGATCACGGACATGACAAGGAGTCTCGAAATGGCCGAGACATAAAGATTGATATATTGGAAGGTTATGTTTGGACATGGGAAAG